CCCTCCTCTCTCTCTCTCTCCCCAGATTTAGCATGCGTAAAAATCAGGCTTTGGGACGAAGCACCAACCTCGAACGGGGTGCGGGTACATTTTTCTACTCTAAAACATTACCTTAAAATTTTGATTGCTCCAAGAAAATAATCCTAGATGCTCATGAATTCATTTTTGAGGAATTCTAAGGAGAGTCTCTCTAAGTGGGCTTCTTGATGAATTCTTTGTCAACAGATGATCACACCATCACCTTCCATCTGTGTGCCGCTATTGGCACTGTTACTTGTGAGATGTTTCTCTCACGAGTTTCATTCACTTGGTGGCTGTAGGTTTGAGTTGTGGCATGATGGAAGAAGGTAGAATCTTCTTCTTTTACGATTTGGAGGCTATGTTTGGTTGGATACCGGTGAATGCAAGGGGCGGTAGTTCGTGGTCGGTGGTGTTAACGACTTCTAAGTAACAGGGTTTTTTTCGTTTTTTGCTTGTTTGTTTCGGCTCAAAATTTGGGTTGGACCCGTTTGCTTTGGGATCCATATTTTAGTTTTGGGCTTTGATTGTAATTGGATCTCAATTTGTAAATGTGTTGGTTATGAAATTTACCTTTGTACCAAGAAAAGAAAATTATAACACTCAATTAGCTATATGAAAGAACTCCGGATAATCTTGCCCTTCACAAATTAACTCTAAAATAATAGGAAAACTAATGAAAATGACTTGAAAATTTTGAGTTTTAATGATAATAACAGAATTAAGGATAAGGTGAATAGTACAAAAATTGACTTTTTAATGTATAAATATGATTTTTCGTTAAAGTGAACAATACTGTCAACTTTTCGTTAAAACTTCCTAAAATAATAGTACAAAAGCATACCATCAAATTTCTGGTTACCATCGTACCTTCACCAGTTCGCCTGTACTTTGCCCCACCCCGGACCCTGATCCCAAGGGTGCGGAATTTGGATTAAGATTCGGCCATGGCTTCGTTGGAAGTGAGAGATTGCGGGCGTTGTGGTTTAGTAGCTGATAGATAACTGCCCTAGGGTTTCGAAAACTGTAAGACTACCCATTTTGAAAAGATAATCAGTTTCAGGCCCACTTCCTTTTTCTTGGGGGAAATAAGTTAATGCTTTTCAAAGCCCTGATTGACTGTTGAGGTGTGTTTTTAGGGAAGAGGATCCTCTCCTGAGCATAGGATAGGAATCCTCTGATCACGAAATCCGGACCTTTCAATTTTAATCCAACGGTTGCAATTATTATAACTTTTAGGAGACCCTCTGTTTAGACTCGTTGGATTAAAATTGAACGGTCCGGATTTCATGGTCAGGAGGATCCTCATCCTAAGCTCAGGAGAGGATACTCGTCCTGTTTTTAGGGTTTTTTTTATTTTTTTTATTTTTATTTTTAAATTAACATATCTACACTAAAGATGAGTAGTAGACTTAGCCTCATAATGGACTAGTAATAGTGTGGTTCAATTTCGCCTTCCGTGAGAATCGAGTTTAAGACCTCTCACTTCCAAGTGAAGAAGAATACCACCAAATCTTAATACTTAGTACTAAGTGAAGTGTTTATAGGTGTTTTTAATATGACTAAAATATTTTTGATAAAGTGCTTTTAGAACCAATTATTCCTTAATAAAATGCAAGGAAATTCAGAAATATATTTAAAGTGTTTCTTGTAATAAACTCATAATTGATGTTTTTTTAAAAAGCGTTTTTAGTTAATTTAAAGGAAAAATTACATATAAAGTATGCTTTTAATTCTTAATTTCACGTTGAGACAACACTTTTTAAACATTTCAAGAAGAGAAAAATTAATACATGTGAAAGATGAGATCATTTACTTTTCTTTTTTCCTTCTAGAGTGTAAGTTACAAAAATAGCCTTTATCTATTACATTTTTTCACACTTCTTTCTCCTGCTCCCTTATCTCTCTTTTTTTCTTTCTCATGCTCCCCTATGTCTCTCTTTCTTTTTCTTTTTCTCTGTCTCTCTTCCTTTTTCCCATTTGATCAGTAAACAAACAACAAATATCGATCCATGCACCAATAAAATCACAATTTATGCATGTGCCTGATAAAGAAAACACGGTACGGTGAAGGACAAACCATTCTTGACGATTTGTCGCAAGGTCATCTTCAAGAATTTAACAAGTCCAAGTAAAAAATTTGAACTGAGGAACTGTTGCAGAAGCTAGCTAGAGCAATGTTAACCTATGGGTTTGTCTACCAACTCTTTATATTTATATAGAAAAAATGCTTTTCTCGAGGAGCTTGACCACTTGGTGAAGCACCGAAATCCTCTTAAGGTAAAGGAGACTTCCCATATTTGAAGAGATTTCTTCATTTAGAAATGAGTTAGTTTGCTAATTTTATAGAGATTTATAGATGTTGAAGTGGATCTTAATTTGAATTCTACTATAAGTTAGGAGGTCGGTACCAAATAGTTGATATTTGTACAAGAACAACAGCATTGAAATTCATTTTTCTTTACTTCGATTAAATTATGGTAACAAAATAGGGTGAAATCTTTGTAGTTCTGTACTAACATATATAGTTTTGTTTCATTAATTTGTACAAAAGCATGCTTATTTTCTAGTTACTGAGCTTAAAGTGAGAACTATATGTTTTGTTTCTTCTGTTTATTTGCTTTCAAGTTCAATATCTGCTGATGAAACAAATAAAGATTCATATGCAAGGATTAGTGAAATAGAGCTTACTTTGTGTTGAAATTTTGTTGTATTTTCGTTGGCTTGTATAGGGAGATGGTTTTGCAAATGAATCTATTAAATGTGTTTCTTTTGGCCTACAAAAATGATCGAATACGGGTTGAACTGATTATGCAAAAATAGTCAAGGACGGGTTGAACTGATTCTGCAAAAATGAATTCAACAAAAATGATTAAGGACGGGTTGAACTGATTTTGCAAAAATAGTCGATGACGGGTTGAACTGATTCTGCAAAAATGATCGAGAACGGATTGAACTGATTCTTCAAAATAGTTGATGACGAGTTGAACTGATTCTGTATATAGTTTCAAAACTGATTCTCCAAAAATAGTCGATGATGAGTTATGCTTATGACATATATTAATTTTGTTGGAGTTGTGAGGGCTGAGTTCTATTAACAGCCCTAAAGACTTAGGGGCCGGTATGACTAATATTCTAAAACATTTTTTTCATGTTTTTGGGCTGGACTTTAGTTGTTTTCATGTTTTTGTCTCTTATTGACATGTTTAAAAACTAGTGGAGTTACTTGGAATATAATGAAAGTTTTTGTCTCTATTATATAAAGCTCCCTAATTTAAATTTAGTTCCAAAATTGCCTTTAATGTAGTTATTTATTTATTTTTTCTATTACATATCTAACAAAAAAAATTGATTTCATTTCACTTGGTTTGGATTACATCGGGAAATTTTGACTGCCTGGGATTTAACTTTTTCAATATAATCAATTAGGATGTCAATTTTTGACTGGTCATTGGCAGTTCAATCTTAACTGCTGAGGTTATAGTTCAACCAGCCAGTGATGAAAAGAAAAGAGGTATTCATCAAATTCCCCCCTTAACTTGTGACCATTAGCCAATTTCCCCCCTCAACTTTAATTTTGGCCAATTTCCCCCCTCAACTCTCATAATTAGTCAATTTCCCCCCTCAACTTTAATTTAGCCAATTTCCCCCCTCAACCCTTATAATTAGTCAATTTGCACCCTACTGTTAATTTTTTAATTTGATCATAATTAAACAAGTGTGTGTAAGAAACTAAATAAGATGTATGTTAATCATGTTCCTATATCTTTATCCTATTACAAATAGATTAAAATTTAGAATTTTACAATTTATCATAGATAGTATTATTAGTCATAATAAATCAGTATGGAGTAATTTTATTTGATTTTTGACTATACAAAATTGATAACGAAAATGATTGATGTGTAAATTTTTGCATGTGAATACAATTTTCTTTATTAAAGTGAAAGCTAAGTTCAAGTAAATTACAGAGAATCGAGCTTTAGTGAAAAAAATGGCTAGTCTATTCATAATTTTCGACTCCTTATTAAGAAAAACTCATTTTATTGAAATAGGTCTGATCCATAAGTTTAGGATTATTATTTCTTTTTGTTATTATTTCTTCTTCTACATGCTTTAAACCCAATTCATAACTTTTTCTTATAATCAACTCATATCACATATTAATTGTATTATGTTTTTGTATATTTTACCCTATATTATGCAAGTGAGTTTATGTTAATTTTAGTACTTTGTTGGAAGTTATTAGAAAGATTGAAAATTAAGAAAAGAATAGATGGAAATTTTAAAAAAAAAAAATTAACAGTAGGGTGCAAATTGACTAATTTTGAGAGTTGAGGGGGGAAATTGGCCAAATTAAAGTTGAAGGGGGAAATTGACTAATTATGAGAGTTGAGGGGGAAAATTGGCCAAAATTAAAGTTGAGGGGGGAAATTGGCCAATGGTCACAAGTTCAGGGGGGGAATTGATGAATACCTCAAAAGAAAAATGTGTTGCAATTTGAGTGAAACAGTAGTGTCTTGTGATCCTACCCACCAAAATATCACTCTTTTAGTGCACAAAACCCACAAATCCAATTATTAACTAGTTAATGACAAAAAAGAAAAAAGGAAAAAAAGAACTTATTAACTAGTGGATTTTATCCATTATATCGATTGTTACTAGAATTATGGGATCGTTCTTATATGATAGATTTTTCAGTGCGCTAGAAACAAAAATATTGCAGTTTTTCATATGACCAGATTGGAGTTAACCTAAAACATTAGCCGAAAAAGGGAAATTATTCATTCTTACATTTCCAAGTTTAAAGATCAAAGTAATACATAATCAAGACACATCTCAGTTGTTATTGTTAGATAAGATGACTGAATTTCAATCATCGAATCCAAACTAATAGCTAGCTTAGCTTACAACATGAGTTTATTACAAATCAAATATTATTGATGCAAGCATAATATTAAGAGGTTTGTTTAGTAAAGATATCACTTAGTCATGTAGGATGATTGAGTGGGACGATCATCATCCCCCTCCTTCTCCGTTGTCTCTATATACTCGCGGTCGTCTAACAGATCTTCATCATTGACATCCTCCTGCTCGTCATCATGTTTCTCGTTGAGCTTTCTAAGATGGGCTATAATTTCCCTGCAGGGCAAGTTAACATGAGTTTCAATAGTTTGTTTCAAAAGCATGTACTTGTCTGGATGATGAATAGACACGTCTTCCAGAAGCCTTTCCACGTTATGCTTCACAAACGCTTTGAACAAGATTTTAGCAGAATTTAAGGCAGAAAATGCCTGCCCGCTCAGACGTTTTCCTGTTTTGCAGAAAATCGCAAACGATTCGCAGTTGTTTTCAAACAGGTTATAGTCCCCGAAACCCTGTTCCTTGTTGAGCAATTCCGTGGCGCGAGGTATGACTTTGTCAGCTGAATTGGAACGACCCGTCGTGCAAGTTCCTGGAAATTTCAATAGGAAGTGAGTCTGAGAGACTCCGTATTCGAAGCGGTAAAGCCCATGGCCGTCTAGGAAGCAGTCGACGCAAGTTTTGATCACTCCTCGTGCCATATCTGGGTGATGCCCGCAGTTTTTGCATTTAGTAATCCAAAACATCCAAAATTTCTTTTTTGCAACTTGTGTTCTGGTGTAGTGGATCACCCTATCTGCCTCCACGAGTATTCCTGAATATGTATATAACCAAAAGCCAAATATGTATAAAATAAATAAAATAAATTATTGTGAGAGTGAATTAGGGGTGTTAGGTCAAATATGGAAGTTAAAATTAGAGGAGTGTTTCTTTTTAACAGCAAAAAATAGTTTTTAACTTTGTTTAACAGAGAAAACTTAGATGTACTTCTGACTCGTAAAAACACTTTAAAGAGAAATCATATACCAAATGCCTCTTCAGAAAGTATTTACGCTATTCCACAAGACACTTGAACTTTTTATAACAAGTTTAACATATTTATATAGAGGCACTTAGAAACAATGACAAACATGCTCTTAATTACTGACCATGGTGGGAGTATGTGTGCCGTGCTCTATAGGTATAGACGTGATCTCCTGGCTTGATCCGGGACTTATCAACCTTGTTTGAGAACAGTCCCATCTCTCTCTCTCTCTGAGGGTTGCTAGATCGATCTTTTGAGAGACAAGTGTAACAATTACTGTGATTAGCTAGAATCAGCTGTTACGACTTTTTATAGCCAACAATGGGGCAGTCAAATGGTCTTACAAGAATCAATAGGACTGATTAATAATAATGATCATGATAATTAATTAATCATACTAGAAGCACTAAAATAATCTAATTAGTACTGTTGGTGAGAGTGGGATGAAACCGTGTTACTTGTACAAATTAACTAAACATACAAACTGCCAATTTGCCAAGTTGGATTTTATCTAAAGCGCAAGACTTTGAAAGAGGGAGTTGACCTTAATTAGCTATTATGCCCGCACTGATCAATATTTGTGTATCGGTTTACTTAATTTTACAACTTTGTCACAAAAATATTGCATACATGTAGTTGCATACTTTCTAAATAGTATTCATCCTATCTCGTCATGCCATAATATATACAAAAATAAAATAAAAGCCAAAAGGTAAGTAGATAAAAATAGGGATGGGGCTTGAGTTCAAATCACTAAATACATAATACACAAGTAGTTGCATACGTTCTAAATAGTATTGTAGTTCAATCACTGATACACATACTTCCTATCACTTGTTCATTTTAGTTTATCTACTGGTGAAATATTAAAAACAAATTTAAAGACTTCGCCAGACGAAATGGGACAAATTTCTTCGGACGAAAAAAATAATAAAAACTTTTAAAATATTACTTGACGAAACAATAAAAAGTTTGTCGGTCAAAGTGAAAGTATTTGTCGAGCAAGTGTGTATTTTATGATTTAGGGTTTATAGTTTGTCGGGCAATATGTAACCTTTTCGCATAATCAATTTCTTTGAAGATTTTTGCAGTCTACCAAATTAATTAATTTCAACAATCCAACCGTCAATTAGTTGGTATATACTTCAAGTTGGCATATGCCAAAATCATCCAAGGATCATGTAACGAGACCAAATCTTTCGACAATTAGAAACATATAATCACAATTTAGCGGTTTTAGTTTCAATTTTTTAGAATACAATAAACGAACTCGATCATCAATTTAACATATTTACATATTAGTGTTTACCACAAAATGCTACGTTCTACTTAATAAAAGTATATAATAAACATTAAGTGTTTGTTGAATCTATTGCATGTTTTAATTGGATACGTACTCCACTAAACTAATTTTCACGATTCAACAGTCAAACTTGTTTAAATATAGTATGAAATCGCATACGCCAAAATCACGAAAAACAAACTTTTAGGGACGGTTTAACGGTTATATCACCCTTGATTTTGGTGATTTTTTTGCAAAGATGCTAATTGAGGATAAAATCACTCACTGAATTGACCTAATTATCAAATTTGATGATCTATTAATCATTTGAAAAATAAATATATAAATAAATAAAAGGGGAAAATTTTGATTTTCTTTTTGTTTTCCCGACGAAATTGGTAAATTACGTCAGGCAACAACATTGAATTCGTCGAGCAAACTTTCAAATCTCCTTCACTTTTTTCTCAAAAATTAATTTTCTCCCAGATTAAAGGGTTTGCCTGACGAAATATGTAGAATTCGTTGGGCAAAGGTTTGTTCCAACCATTTTTTCGCCAAAAATTAAACTGGGCGAGCATTTTTGTGCAATCTTTGCACGATGAAAAACAAGTTTATAATAAACATGTCACTTTTTTATGAATTCCCGAAGAATTGGTTCGTAGGACAAAATTCCTAATATTTTATAACAGTCCCGAGAGCCTTCATCTTCTTTGCGCTGCAAACTCCTCTCTCTGCGCAAATTTCCTCCCTCTCTGCAAACTCTCATCCCCCTCTCAGCTCTCTCTCACTCGCCATCTCTGCTCTCTATCTCTTTCGCCCTCTCACTCTCGAGCTCTCACAAAATTATGTGAGAAGAATTTGGCGGAAGGTAAAGGATGGGTATGGGGAAGAATTTGGGGGTTTTGGGGAATGGAAGTGGGGACAGTGTGGGGAATGGGGGAACGACAGGGCGGGGAGGGTGTGTGGGACGGGCTGGGCTGGGCTGGGTTGTTTTTCTAATTTTTTATATGAAAATTATAATTTTTAGGATTTTTACAGTTATTAAAAAAATTAGAAATATTAAAAAATTTTAGGAAATATTAGATATATTAGAAATTTGTAAGAAATATTAGAAAGTTTTTAGAAATATTAGAAAATTGTTCGAATTATTTACTTCTAGAAATATTAGAATTTGTAGAATTTTTTTTTCACATTTGTAGTCATCACGCACTACATCGGCCTCATTGGTCTGGGATGCCTGATCTGCCCGACGTATCACCTGCATAATGGAAGGCAAGATCAGAGTTGTTTACGAGCGAGTAGACATCAAAGCCGTCTGACTCACGACATGGGAGTCATCATTTGTACCAAGTGCTTCATGAAAGCCCCTACATGGAAGAAGCTCGCCGTGAGGTGAAGGAAGTAATAATGATAGAGATCTCAGTAAGTGTGTTTTTTAAATTTATTATTTTATTAATTTTACTTATTTAGTGTATTTTTTAAAACTAACACTTTTTTTGTCTATTTCAGTTCAGCTTTGACTTCGACATGGAAGAGCCAGGTATGTCCGAGTACATAACCTGGGGGTAGACTGATCGGTTCAATGAGTGGAAGTGTGAGTTGCACAAGTACTACGAGACTTGTGCATCTTTTGCTAAAGCTTTGACCGATCCACCCATGGAGTTTGTGGGATGAGTGACACTAGCTCTATGATCATTTTCAGAGTCGGAAATTTCTAGTAATTTTTTAAAATTTAATATTAATTTTGTTTTTTTAGTTTAATGAATTTTTTTTTATTCACAGCAGATATTGAAATCGATGGCAAACAAGACTAACCGTTAAGCTTTTGGTCGAGGAATCTACTTCATCTAGTTCTTAGCCTGCAAGCGAAACGTTTTTTTTTTTCAATTTTAATATAATTGTACGAATACCTTAATTTTGATATATATAAATAAATTTTTTTATATTATGATTTCTTTTGAGATTAATATAATAAAATTTATTTATTTATTTGAATAAAATCGAATTTAAATTACAAATTTAAAAAAAATTTAAAAGTTTGTCCGACGAACTTCGTCGCACATGCATTTTGTATTTCTTTTCTTTCTTTAAATTCTTTGCCCGACAACTGTTTCGTCGGGTCAAATATTTTTTATTTTTTTATTTCCAAAAAAATACAACCATGCATGATGAAATGTTGTCGTTGAGCAAGTTAGCTTCGTCGGGTCAAGTTGGTCAATGCACTTGGTTCGACGAAATTGTCGTTAGTCAAATAGTATTTGCCCGATGGAGTTTTAAAATTTGTGGAGTAAAAGTTTGTGCTACGACCTTTGCCCGACGAATTTTCATCAGGCAAAACATTAAGCAACAAAACCTTATTTGGCCCGACGGAATCCTTTCGTTTGAAAATGGAGTTCTTTTAGTAGTGACCAGACTTCCAATAGTTTGTTTCAATTGTATGTGCTTGTCCGGTGATGAACGTTATAAGATTGAAGGAGAAATGAAGATATCAGAAGATTCCTTCAACGATTAAGAAACTTCAACTTGGTTAGATTCGGACACCTCATAATCCTACAGCTTTACATTATATTAATGTCAGCCACACATCTTATAAAAGTTTAGACTTGGCATGCGTGGTCTTACCGGAATTAAGCAACACTGACTCGGTCATAGTAATTTTAATATGAGATAATTCTACATATACCAAACGAACTTGCTAAGTAGAAGAGAAGTGGGGACGGAAATCGTGTTAAACTGTTAATACACAAATTGCTGTTCATTCATCTGGCTCACCAGTGCGGCGATGGTGACGACGACTTCAACAATTTCTTTACTGCCATTGTTTATGTTTGGGCCTAATCTATATTTTTTGGGCCTTATTTCGTATTTTTTATATTTTTATTTGTTTGTTTGAATGAAATGCTCAATTGATTTATAAAATAAAAAATAAAAAAATTACACGGTCCATGCAAATTGCCAATTTGCAACGATGGATCTAAAGACTCTCAGAGTCGACCTAATTGACTAATTAGTCTGTCTTATGTAATGATAACATGACATTACTTGATCATTAATTAATTTATTTATTGATTTTGAACTCTTTATTTTACATTTTTGTTGTCGAGAGAACTCTTTAGTCTACTTAATACCAACAAAAAATACATACAAGTTGACAAGACAGATCAAATATAGTCTCAAAAAGTTAAACTTTGTTAATACGCAATAATAACAACAGGAAGTTTTTAGCGAATAGTGTTATTCACACATATTTTTTTACCTACTACATTCTTCTTTCAAATTTTGACCGTCGAATCCACTAAATTGAAAAAACCAAATGACATAAACAACATAGTTTGTATGAAAGGTAAACAATAGTGTGTAGATAGCACCGCTATTTTTTGTTTGTGCATCCCCCTCTATTCAAGTGCGGCACGACCTCAGAATATAAAATTATTGTTAGAAATTAAATTTTGTCAATTGGATATATATGTTAAATTATTCATGTATCCATTATTTGTTTCTAAACCATTGATCCCTAGCCTTCTCAGTTTTTTATTAGCTCCTCTGGGTTCTTGTCATAGATATATAGAGGTGCGAGCACCCCTCCTGAATAGAATACCAATACATACAAGCAAATGGTCAACTATGTACATACTTGACTACTGTAAACGTAATCACAAAGATTAGTCTAATAGCATAACGACTTAGTGATGTTATAAGATTCGCGTCAAACAGATGTACGGCTTCTGCAACATGATTTTTAAAATTAAGCTAAACTTAATTGAGACGGTAGTTGAGTGTGCATGGTGGCTAATATTTCTACAAAAAAGAAAACTAAAAATAAAAGCACTTAGTATTATCTTTCCGATATCCTTGTCCATCGCATCCCTTCGTTGGAGGAGTAGCGGAACTAGCCACATCGATCGTACAAAAAAAGAATTGGGAAGTCGAAGGGTTTGGGGAAAAGAAAATGGTGGGGAACTATAGGGTTTTGGGAAAAAAAAGTTTGTGAGGGAAAATGAGAGTAAATCTTTGAATTTAAAGAAATGAAAATTAATGAAAAATGCTTGAAAATTTTGAGTTTTAATCAAAATGACAAAAATGTGTTGTAAGTGAATAGTACCAAAAGTGATTTTTTAGAATAAAAATGTCTGTTTTCGTTAAAGTGAACAGTACCGGGAGTGTTTTGTTAAAACTCTTTTTAAAGAACCCATTTGACCATTGTGTGACGAAACATTCATTGCGCAAATTCTGCAGTAAATACTACGATTTTAATTCATTTCTGACCGACTCACTTTCCACGACGAAGGACTCGTCCTTCCACACTTTGTGCGACAACACCTTCATTGCATAAACTTTGTAGTAAATAAAAACCGACCATTCGAGATCGTTTGCCACTACAACAGTCCCGTCGCGCAAAGATTTCACGGGAAAATGACCGTCGCGTGAGGTTTTGGCACCAAATTTCTCCCCACCCGCGTTTTTTCTGACCCTTTGAGCAATGAACAGTTGGTGTCATCGAGCAAATACCTTTTGCGAGACTAATATGTTTGTTGCATAAGGTGTTTAATATTTTTTTTTTGTCAACACGTTTTTGAGTGACAAAAAGTCTTCTGTCGCGTAAAGTCTCGTCGCGCAAATAGTTTTATCTACTAGTGTAAGAGCATGTTTGTCATTGTTTCTCTGAAAAGGGCTTTTATTATTAAAATCTAAGTGCTTTATAGAATAGCATAAATACTTTCCGAAGAAACATTTAGAATATAATTTTCCCAAAAAGCGTTTTTACGAGTCAAAAAACACATTTATATTTTTCTGTCAAACGAAGTCAATAAGTATTTTTTAATGTTAGAAAACGCTTAATTTGAACTCTTTAGGAATCAATGCACGCTTGACCCAACACCCCTAATTCACTATCAGTATAATTTTATTAGTTTTTTTTATTTTTCTACCATATAATTTTATTCATTTTCATTAGTTTTCCTCGTAGAATTTTGGTTATATACATATTCAGAAATATGCGTGGAGGGGCAGATCAAGGAATTATTTAAGGATTGTTGAGTATAATTTAACGGGGTTTCGATAAATAAAAAAACTTAAAAGGCTAGGGATCAATGGTTTAGAAACAAATAACGGAGACATGAATAATTTAACAACATATATATCGAATTGACAAAATTTAATTTCTAACAATAATTTTATATGCTGAGGTCATGCCGTACTTGAACAGAGGGAGATGCACAAACAAAAAATTGCGGTGATATCTACATATAATTTTTTACTTTTTATACAAACTATGTTGTTTATGACCTTTGGTTTTTTCAATTTAGTGGATTTAACGGTCAAAATTTGAGATAAGAATGTGGTAGTTAAAAAGATATGTGTGGATAACACTACTCACTAAAAACTTCTTGTTGTTATTATTGCGTATTAACAACGGCCAACTTTTTGAGACTGTCTTTGATCTGTCTTGTCAATTTGTATGTATTTTTGTTGGTATTAAGTAAAATAAAGAGTTCTCTTGACAACAAAAATGTAAAATAAAAAGTTTAAAATTAATAGATAAATAAATTAATGATCAAGTAACGTCATGTTATCATTACATAAGACAAACTAATTAGTCAATTACGTCGACTCTGAGAATCTTTAGATCCATTTTTGCAAATTGGCAATTTGCATGGACCGTGTAATTTTTTTATTTTATTTTACGTCAAGTGGGCATTTCATTCAAACAAACAAACAAAAATACAAAGAAAACGAAACAAGGCCCAAAAAATATAGATTAGGCCCAAACAGAAACAATGGCAGCAAAGAAACCGTTGAAGTCTTTGTCACCATCGCAACATTGGTGAACCATCACGTACGACATGCTGATAATAACAAAAATGAATAGTTTAGTTGCGGTCTTGCTCCTTAACTGTTTTATTGAAGTCCCACTCCTACTACATAAATTACATAATAATAATAGAGATACAATAATACCAATAAAGACTCAACCGGTTTTTTTTTTTTTTTTTGGCTGTTATTTACACTACAAATTTAATTATTCAAAATTGCTTATGGGTGCATTCCAGATTATAAAAAAAAGGGATTTTATTTTATTTTTATAAAATGAGTACATTTATATAATAAAATTTGGCTACATTTACATTAAAACGTGGGAACATTTTATATAGAAAACAATGGGTACATTTTATATTAAAAAAATAATGGTACATTTTAGATTAAAAAATAAATAGATTTGACTTTAAAAAATGGGTACATTTTACATAAAAAAATGGTACTTACAAAAAAAAAGAAAGATACATTTTACATATAACAAAATGGTACATTTGTAAAAAAAATGGGTACATTATAAATAAATTATGGGTACAAATAAAAGGTTAAAAAAATTATGATTACATATAAAAGATTAAAAAATAAGGGATAAAAAGAAATTAATATATGGGTACAAATTAAAATTTAAAAGAAAATCGGTACAATTTAAAAAAGGGTTGCAAATTAAAAATGGGTACAATATGATAAAAAGTTTAGCCATAAATATAATATACAACTGTAACATTTCTAATACTAAATGAATATATTTAAAAATAAAACTTAATTATCTTGACATGTAAATATTTTGTTTTTGAATAATTAATGGCATTTATTAAAACCGAATGACCTTGATAAAAATTTGAAAATGAATAAGGTTTTAATCAATGGAGTAGAAAAAATAAGGATGGGAACCTAATTTTTCCTAACAAAAATAAAAATAAAAATAAAAGTTCAGTAGATAAAAATATGGACGGGGCTTGAGTTCAAATCACTTAATGCATAATATACATGTAGCTGCATACGTTTTGAATAGTATTGTAGTTCAATTATTGTCACACATACTTCGTGTCACTTGTTGTTTATCTACAAGTGAAAGATTAAAAGAAAAAACTGACACATGTATATTGTTCTTTCTTCAAGCAGTCACGCTTAAGATGAAAGAAGAGGGACGGGGCTTAAAACAATATATAATAAAATCTTTAATTAATGCAAGTATTATGATCCTCCTTCCCATATTGTGCCTTCTATCCTCTTGCCAATTATTTCATTAAATTGACCTACAACAACAAAACAAAAGAAATTTTGTTACATATGGTCAGGAAATAAATCACAACATAACAAATATATAATAAAAACAATAGTAAATAGTTCATTCGAATTCAATTTCTCGATTAGTTCTCCCCTCCCTTTAGTGTAAAAATATCAATGTAGTAAAAAAAAAAAAAAAAAAAAATCTCCATTTAGTTATAACATTATGTATGTACTATGTAGCTAGATACTGGTATAAGAGAAAACTTGTACCAAACTACGGAAAAATAGCCACGGGGAATATGAAAACTTAAACCCTAAACCCTAATTACCCAAGCCAGGAAAGGACATTGGATGAAGAAGTTATAAGTAAACATTGTCATAAGTTATATTTCAATCACGATGAAATGTATGCGATCAAATGAAAATTGTCATGCATTATAAACAACAAATTTTACCTGTAAGATAATACCGTTGATTGATATTGTTGACTGAATAATGCTGCTGTTGCTGGTGTAGTGGAACAACAACAGAATCTACCACTTTTACTTGCTTTACCACCTTCTCATGACTCTGTTGTTCACAATTTAAAGGGTAACCAAACGGGGCTGAATCCGGTATAACATCGTCGTTATCATGAAGATAACCCGAATTGTTAACATTAGTGATTCCATTAGTGATTCCACCATTCCAATTACCCACCAAATCCGACAAGGATTTGTTGAAACACAATCCCTTTTGCACTTGTAAAGGAACAGTATGGTTTTCACGATTCTGCTGCTGCTTATACCTTTTAAGCTCATCAGAAACCATCCTATACTCTCCGTACGCACCGAGCACTGGATCTTTTTGCCTACAAAGAGCTTCCCATACCAACGATTCAGTGACCTTTCTCCGATTGGGTTCCTCGACATTCTTCACCATCTTTGTTACGTTGCTGACCCCGAAAACTTTGTGCACGGCGAGGAATTCCCGAGTTCTATCAGCAGGAAAATACGGTGCCAATATGCAACCAGCATGACACTTTTTCCTTTGATGTTTGCATGCTGCACATGCCGGTTGTGTTGATCCTGCTGTGCCATTGTTATTCGTCCTCTGCATGATCTTAAACCCTATATATATACTACTTTAATAAATTAAAACAAATTCAATTAGATATAATACCAACAAGAGCAATTGGTTAACATGATTGCGAAAGAAAAAAAAGTAATCAACAAGAGCAATTGGTTAACATGATTGCGAAAGAAAAAAAAGTAATCAACGAAAATTCAATTAACTTTTTCTATTTATAAGAAACGATTTTTCGAGTGCGAGCCTTGGCACAACAGAAATATTGCTTATTTATGATCGAAAGGTTACGGTTTGAGTCTTGAAAATAACCTCTTTGCAAAGTAAAGTAGGCTATATAACACAGATGTTCACCAAACCTTCTAAAAATGGAGAGTTGTGTTGACTTGAGGTCACTTCTTTTTAAAAAAATGAGATTTCATTCAAGTAACTTAAACAAAGAGAGGAACAAGAAGCTTACGAACCTTGTTGGTATAAAAAATAGAAATGGCCTGGCGGAGAAGGCTTTAAATCTTATATCTGAAAAGTACCTAGCATGTAAAGATGGCACGCCTCTGGGTTAAAAAGAATGACTTGTGCAGGGTTGATCAGGGTTTTAGGTAGCTCACAGCAAGAAAGAGACTTGTATGGAAAACAATAAAATAATTGGAGATGATTTTTGGTAATCAGTAGGTGTCTTGGACTATTGGGCGCACAGCCCACTTCCTCGGTACTCAAGCTCAAGCCCACATTTAGTATTAGCAACGAAAAGCCCAGTCATATCGTTAGCCCCGTCCAGTGAGACTAATGTGTTAGTGTACTCAAACACGGCCACGTGATGTTACCATTATACTTAAACTCGGGCGTGCATTCATTTTTGATTGATATACAGTGACTTGTTTGACGATTCCAACTAGTTTCCTTTGTTACATTGGAGAGTTTCAAACCCTGTACACAAACTTCTCCTCACCCTACCCACCCTCATCGCTAGGCTTTGATTATTCCAATTTCATTTACCTGTGACCAAATAAAAAACCAACCAAAAGAAATGAGCAAAAACAAAATGCAACAGACAGGTTTTCTCAATCAACAACCCAGATTTTTATCATTGCTTTTGGCAGTTTAGTAGTTCATACTAATGCACTTTCACACAACAGAACTCTGCTATTGGCAGTTGGTTTTCATAGTAAAGAACGAATATTCAAGGGAGAACGCCTAAAATTGAATCACCGGCCTCCTTGTGTTGCAGCGGCAAGAGGTTGAACAGCAGCTAAAGGATTCACCTGGTATGAAAATGCAAGCTGCCACAAGTCCACCAGAGCTTTCTTCATTGTCAAAGCTTGTCTCTGAATAGTCCTGTGACGAACAAATATATATTTGCGAAATCTCAAATGATTACCACGGGAATGGAATCAATAGTTTGACATGGGCATTGAAGACATGCATGTTGATTATGGAGTATAACTCACCTCTTTATGGTAGCTTGTTTTCTCCGCAAAATGTAATATATGAGCAAAATCAAGAATCCTGAGACAATCTTTCCATTAGATATTACCACCCGAGCACTACCAAATTTCAGAGTGATCGTACGGAACCACCAGACACATGGTTCCAACTTTTTGGACAGATTGAAAACTGTTTGTTTCTTAACAGTCCCTCCATATCTGGCTTTTGGATATCCGGCAGGCACAGCTATCTGCTCCACATCATAGTTGTCCTCCAGTGAAGATGACATGGATCCTTGCGGTGAGTTTGTGGCTTTAACAGAATGTAGTGAGTGTAATCTTCTCAAAAGTACCTAGAAAGACATGGAAGACTCTGAACTGGTATCAATTCTTTTAACCTATGACTTCGATTAACATAACATACCATTCTAAATTAAGTTATATTCACACGAATAAGCATTATGGCAAGAATTCAAGAAAAGAAATAAGTTAGAGGACAGTCTCATAGCACATGGAAGAAACTTCTTCAATAAGCGACTCAGCCATACTTGTACTTAATAAGGAGTGCGGCTTGCCATTCAAGAGGCAGACATAATTTACGATGAACAGGGTAACGATAAAAAAAGTGAAATTTGTTTATATTTAATAGACATAAAGTACAAACAATAGGACCACCTCAATCAATTGTCGCAGTGCCGAGTCTAACATAAGATGCATATAGATGTAGTTACCTGTCTCCTATCCTCAGGTAATTCAGCAGTCTCAACCCAAGAGGTTGCAAGCTTGACATCATTCAAAACGGTTCCCAGAAGCTTCAGCACATAGACCTCAACTACTTCTACATACTTGTCAACTCCCAGAACAAAATGCTCATTACTTCTTTTTGCATTATCCGCAAATTTTTCTGTACTAGCAAGAACATAGTATTGTTCATCCACAAAACTCCAGCTGCTAAGGAACTCTTCCAGAAATTCTTGAATACCAAGGGAATGCCCTTCTGATATATAAAAACATACCCTGACAAACAAGATAAGACACAAAAATGAAACTGAAAAATCCAGTTATGCTTGGCGAGATTCTTTCTGTTTAAAAGGCTAAAAGAAATGTGAAAATCATGTAAAAAAAGCGTTGTTATGGGTCAAACTTAGAGATCTTTTTGCAGACATCTATAAATTTGGTTTTCAACTGGGTTGGACAAAAATAAAGAGGATTTTTCAGGAATCATTTTAAGTTTACACCGTTATAATTACTTTCTTACAGTTATATCGACCTCCTTTTCAAACAAATAGAATTTCAATGTAAGAACTTTAAACAATACACACTTTTGGATAGGTCCAAGAGAAGCGGTAAGCATCGCCCTGAACAGTGGTTTTTCTAAGTCCATCAATGGTTGAAATCGTAAAATCAAACGATATGAAATGTTAATCAAAAGAATAACTTGAGTCACAGATGAAAGTACCCAGTGAGAAGAACTTGAACAGGGATAGTACCAACAGAGGCAAACAATGGTTTGAGCTCATTCAGAATCTCTGATGTCCTGCATGAACCAATCACATCCACAATATCAAACATTCAATATTCCGTGAATATAGCGGGTTATCGATACCAATCCCAATCCAATCCTAACAAGGCCAAATTGTGCTTTTGTAAACTTTCAGTGTGTGCAAGCAATCAATCCCACAAAAAATGAAGTTACTACATTTATAAGAACAAATGAATTGAAGATACATACCTTCCAAGTTGTTTTAAGGATTGCACAAGCACCATACCGGCCGATTCCGACATGTCGTAGAGCTCGAAGCGGTCGCCGTCGGCTTCAAGGTGTTGACTGTGTTGTGAAAGAGGCTTCAGAATAGAGGAGGCTAATGAGGCTGCTTCCTCGTACATTGAGCAAACAAGGTAGCTGCAGCATGCAAAATAATCACATCACAGTTCGAAAAACAATCGGAGAAGACAAAATAATCCAATCCAATCCAATCCAATCCAACACTAGAGAACAACTGACTGACCTCTCGGAAAGCTCAATTTGCTCCCAGATGGCAGGGCCGGAGGCGCTGGACTCCATCCCTAACTCGGTTGAAGGAGACGAGCCATTTGCCTCCTTCTCCATTTTCGATCTCGCAGTAATCAACGCAGTCGCCCGAGAGAGAGATGGAACTTCACAGATTCTGTCGACAATTTTGGAAGACGAAAATCATTTGGCTAACCCTTTATTCTGTCGAGTGTCGACGGTTCTATCCAGGAATACGTCGTCATCCTTTTTTTTCTCACCTACAGCCTTTTGGTCAAATTCTCCAATAAAAAAATTAAAATGCCCTTAACTTAAGAAAATCACCAATGACTTATTTACAAGAGGTTTAGGTTGAATTTTTGAATCATATTATTGCTAGTTTATTATGAGGTTAAGCCTACCCTGTCCCTTAATATCGTTTGTTCAAAAAAAAAAAAAAAAAAAAAAAAAGGTTATCCACACACTCATTTTTACTTCTTACAAACTTCTCTCAATTTTCGATCGTCGGGTCGAATTAATTGAACAAGATCAATAGCCAAAAATACCTAATGGTGTGTTAAAAGTAAAAATTAATTTGTGGATAACATTTTCCTTTGAAATTTGACAGCTTTCTACCCTAACAGGAGATGTAAAATTTCATTCCAAGGTATTTTGCAGGACGCATCCAATTGTCCATAGCAACTTCTCATATTCCATAGTAATAATAAATAATAATTATATTATATTATAAAAGAGTGTCCGCGCATGCCAAGAGGCTAGTTAAAACTTGAAACATTTTAAGGTAAAAGAAGTAATATAATTTAAAAAGATGAGTTTAAACAAGTATTCTATAATTACATGGGTATGGTGGAGATAATACGAGTCGACTCTAAAATATATATCATTGCTGAAATGGCAGGAGGACTGAAAGTGGCACTTTGAAACGCCAATTTTCCCAATCATTCAATGTATCATGTATGGGAGGAAGGCCTGTTTGAGCTGCAGCACTTTGAAGCCAATTCTTCCAAATCAATGCTCTTCATAGGAACCAAGATGGTATGGCTCATAAAAGTGACTCGTCCTCTCAACTCCGAAGTAAGTGCTTTCGTGTTGCAAGTCCTGGTGTTGTCCATGTTCCAACTGCTAAACCAGAAGCAGGTTTCATTATCTCCGAGTACTCTTGCTTCCCGTACAATCCCTTGAGATTATCAGTTGTGCACTATAATGTGGTAAAAATCAACACCCCATTTGGTTTGAGGTGTTCATGTGACCGGCATCCCATAAGGTCTGAGGAAGCATTTGACAAACCAAAAACAAGTTCAGTATGGTACAAAGCCATACGACTAGGATTCTAGGAGTCTTGGAGTCTGAGACGTAAAGTGAACAAGAAAAAAAAATCGTGACAGAGAAGATTAAAAAGCTCACCCTAGTTGGACTGCTGAAAGGATCATAGGCTGTGTCCATACCCAACTGCACAAGCACATTGCATCAAAACCCAATCTATTCACTATTACTCACAATACCTCTGTTGAAGGACCATTAAAGCAACTTGTAACATCTGTCTAGCCTTTCTATCCGGAGTGCATCCGGCACATTCCATTTCCTTGTATATCTCCGGGACCTGATCAAGAAACCGCTTGCATATTTAGAGATTTAGAAAAGAAAACAAGCTTCCTACTCTCTTTCTCGAGTTGGAAACTAGAGATTTTAAAGTTACTGAATATTCAAGTGGGGAGAACTACTAAAGAGTCCCTCACAAAACTTTTTTTTTTTTATCGAAGAAACACGACAACTTTTCTTATTATTAAGGACATTTTTTGTATCACAATGACAAGAAAACAAAAAGGGAGTCACACTCCATAAGGGTTTGAATTAAAAAAAATGTCCTTAACAATAAAGAAAGTGTCGTTAATAATAACAAAAGGTGCCTTTAATGATAAAGAAACTTGTCTAAGAGTTTTTGAATGATATTTTTTGTTTTTTTTTTTTATGGCCTTTTGATTAATTTTCCTAAAGAATATAAGCACCTTATCAAACTTCCTTGCCCTAATAAACGCCTTCATAAGGGTAGTATAAGTAACCACATCAGGACTAAAACCCTTCACAGACAAAAAAAGCATCACCATTAGAAACTTAGCTTGAAAGTATCACAGAAACTGAATTGCTTGAAGAAATTCAAGATATCTGACAGCCCAACAAGAAAACAATATAGGCAGAAACAAGACTTACACTTTCTTTTATATGGTGATAAATGGATAACGCCTCTAAATATCTACCAGCAACACCGAATGCATTGATCAACACATTCAGCATTATGACGTTTGGTTCGATTCCCTCAGCTTCCATGAGCTGAAGCACCTTAACCGTCTGATGACATAATCCCTGCATTAAAAAGAATACAGACGTTGTAATATGCACAAGATATGGATATATTTCGAGATATAATGAAATAAAACGAAAACAACGTTGGGAGAATCAGAAAACCTGTTGAGCGTAGGCATTTGCTAAGACACAAAACATACTGGCTGAAGGAATAAGACCTTCCGCCTTTAGGGCAGATATGCACTCTTGAGCATCCTGAAATTTTCCATACTGCCCGTAAATATCAACCAAAACAGCATAAATTATCCCACTTTTCTTATGCCCTCGGCGCTTCATATTCTCAAAAGTCTTCTGGATCATATCCCACTTCCCCTGCTCCCCTAATCGGCTAATAACAGTGACAAAGATCTTTGGATCAGGATACAACCCCTGTTCCTGCATCTCGGTAAACAACTCAAGAGCCTTGCTTATATTCCCTGCTTTACAATGCCACCTTATCAACGAATTAAACGTCATTATATCAGGCTTCAGACCTTCTTGTTTCATTTTATCAAACACTTCCAAAGCTTCGTCCAATTCGCCATATTTCCCAAACGTATCAATAATGCTGTTGAAAATCTGTTTATCCAATGCCATCCCCATTTCCCTTATCTCTCCCACAATGTCCATTGCCTTCTTCCACATCCCATTGTCCCTGTAAAGACCAATAACCTTGCTGTACACAAACGAGCTCAACCGAAACCGCTTCCGCTTCATCTCATTAATCATTGACCAGGTATCTTCCAACCTCCCGGCACTGACATAGTAATCAAGAAGAATCTCATACGTCACTTCATTTTTCTCCACACCCAAATCGCCCATTACTGCCAAAACTCTAGTAGCAAGTTCTAAGAGGCCTTTCTTCAAACACCCTCTGAGCATAACATTGTAAACCCTGATTCGTGGCCTCAACCCAGAACATATCATTTCCTGAAACAACACATCGGCCTCCAAAGTCCTGCCATTGCTTCCAAGACCGTCAATCAAATGAGCGTAAGACACCGAATTGGGTCGAACGCCGAGAGCTTCCATTTCTGCAAGAACAGCCATGGCCTTGTCGATATGCCCTGCCCTGCAGAACCCACTTATCAAATTGTTGTATGATTCGCCCGAAAGTTCCTCTCCAGTGGTTTGAGCCATTGGATAGCTGGGAACTGAAGTGTTTTCGTCATTGGGGGACGTAAATTTGACTTCTTTCCTGGTCTTGATGAGATTCGAGTGGGTGAAAGAAGCGTAGAACTTGAATGTCCCGGGGTGTTTGAGGCAGCTCGGAAAGAAGAGAGGGAGTGGAGTGATTGTGAAGAAGTTGGCTGTGGATGAAAGTGAAGGTGAAGTGCGACACCAAATGGACTGCACCAGCATATCTCTATGCTCTAATGTCGCGGGTGCCGAAGATTTCAGAGTGCTTTGTTTGCTTTTGTGGAAGAAAGGAGACGATAAAGTTATATTAGCATAACACGGCTGGCGGAGATGTATAATCGTTTGAAAGTTTTTTTTTTAAATGATTAAAAATGCTTTTAAAGAAAAACAGTTGAGTTATTTTTGAGAATTTTAATGAAAAACTCCAGGTATTGTTTATTTTAACGAAAAATCATATTTTCACACTAAAATATCAATCATTTACTATTCACTTTACCATTTATTTTATCCTTATCATTAAAACTCAAAGTGTCACATCCCGGCCCGGGCGGGACGACTTCCCGGGCCCGATCCACCACCGTAGCACGATATTGTCCGCTTTGGGCTTACTATTCCCTCATGGTTTTGTTTTTGGGAACTCACGAGCAACTTCCCAGTGGGTCACCCATCATGGGATTGCTCTAGCCCCCTTCTCGCTTAACTTCGAAGTTCCTACGAAACCCGAAGCCAGTGAGCTCCCAAAAGGCCTCGTGCTAGGTAAGAATGGGAATATACATTTAAGGATCGCTCCCCTGGGCGATGTGGGATGTCACAATCCACCCCCCTTAGGGGCCCGACGTCCTCGTCGGCACACACGCGACTAGGGTTAGGCTCTGACACCAAATTGTCACATCCCGACCCGGGGCGGATCACTTCTCCGCCCCGCTCCACCACCGTAGCACGATATTGTCCGCTTTGGGCTTACCATTCCTTCACGGTTTTGTTTTTGGGAACTCACGAGCAACTTCCCAGTGGGTCACCCATCATGGGATTGCTCTAGCCCTCTTCTCGCTTAACTTCGGAGTTCCTACAGAACCCGAAGCCAGTGAGCTCCCAAAATGCCTCGTGCTAGGTAGGGATGGGAATATACATTTAAGGATCGCTCCCCTAGGCGATGTGGGATGTCACAATCCACCCCCCTTAGGGGCCCGACGTCCTCGTCGGCACATTACGGCCAGGGTTAGGCTCTGATACCAAATTTGTCATATCCCGGCCCGGGGCTGATCACTTCCCGGGCCCGATCCACCACCGTAGCACGATATTGTCCGCTTTGGGCTTACCATTCCCTCACGGTTTTGTTTTTGGGAACTCACGAGCAACTTCCCAGTGGGTCACCCATCATGGGATTGCTCTAGCCCCCTTCTCGCTTAACTTCGGAGTTCCTACGAAACCTGAAGCCAGTGAGCTCCCAAAAGGCCTCGTGCTAGGTAAGAATGGGAATATACATTTAAGGATCGCTCCCCTGGGCGATGTGGGATGTCACACAAAGTCTTCAAGCTATTTTCGTTAGTTTTCCTGATATTTTTTTTAGTAAAAAATACAAGTGAATCTTATTACAAGAAGAATCAATTACATTACCTACTTGAATCTCGGGGTAAACTCAAATTTAGGTTCTAAACTTGCTCCAATCCTTGGGCCAAATATGAGTTTTAACCCAAAACTCATTTTTGAAGCAAATTTAGCCCCAAATTTCCTTTGGTCTAGTGGGCTGGCCTATTATATATGTGTAATTTTTTTTATAGTTTTATATTTATATATTCATTAAATTCAACAGTTAAAATCTAATATGATCAAATCTAACGGAAAAAAAAAAATCTAACAGTCCAAATTTAAATTCAACGGCTAAAATAATTAAAAAAATTATTTCTTGTGTTTCATATTCTTTTATAGTGTTCCACGAGAATGAGTCAAATATATTTTATTTAATTTTTTTAGTTTAGCTGCAAGAAGGAGTCAAATTTATTTAATTTAATTTTTTCATATTCTTTCATAGTGTTTCACGAGAAGGAGTCAAATATATTTAATTTAATTTTTTAGTTTAGTTACTACAACACATACTTCTTATCACTTGTACATTTTAGTTTAGCTGCAAGTGAAAGGTTGAAAGAAAACACTGACATGTATATTGTTCTTTCCTCAAGCAGTCACGCTTAAGATGAAAGAAGAGGGACGAGGCTTATGACAATATAATACAATTCATTTTGCAAGTATATATTATGATCCTCCTTCCCATATTGTGCCTTCGATTGTCTTGCCAATTATTTGATGACCTACAACAACAAAACAAAACAAATTTTATTACATAAGGTCAGGAAATAAAAAGTGTGCTAGTAATATATATACATATATTTTTATCTCGTTTAACAGCGGCATGCATCTCATCGAGAAAAATTGACGTGCAGTCTTGTTGAGGCATATCGTCGATTTTTCAATAAGTTCACAGCCGTTAACAAGAAGGCCGTCTTTGTAATATACAGCTAGAAGAAAATATCTGTAGACAATGTTTTGAAACATTATCAATTAGACATCCATTGACAAAATTGAAGGACGAGTACTCCATTCAATGCATAGTTTTCAAGAAGAAACGACGATGGGTCATTGCCTTACTGAAAGAAGCGAAAAAGGAGGATGTACAACAAATTCATCAATTCACGAAATGTCGCGATTTAGAGTAATTTGACATTCAAGGGACCGAAAGCGTACAACGGGTTTATGTTGCAAGGACTTGAACGCTCACAATTTGATTCAGGGTGTAAAACTATAGCTTTCAATGTCATTACAGTTTATGTCATGTGGACCACCTCAGGCTCAGAATATTTTTCAAGGTCCAGGAACTGCTCGATTATAAATGCTCGGCTGAAGTCAGGTGCCATGACACCAAATTTGGGAATTGAACTTTTGAATGAGGCGAGAGCTGAGAAGGGCGGGTCTTAGGCTGGATACAATCACTTACAACAGTCGCCGCTCACGTGAATCTAATTTGGAGTAGGCTGTGGAAACACTGTGTGGCAGCCAAAATCAGACTTCTTTTCAAGAGACGGTAGAGGAGGCCCTTCTTCGTCAAATTCAGAGACACTAATTCCACGGATTTGCCCCGTCCTAGCTCCGCCAGTGTTCCTCGACTCTGCCTCTTCCCGGACCCTAATTCCATGGGGAGAGAGAGGAAGCGAGAGAGAGAGAAAGACTGCAGGAGTTGTGGTTTAGGCCGACCCTAACTGTGACTATATATATATAACCGACCCAGGAACCCAAGAAAAGTAGCCCGTTTTGAAAGATAAACAGTTTGAGCCCGCATGAGTAAAATTACTTACTATACGAGGCCCAAAACGTCCGGCCCAGTACTAACGACACGCGAGTTTAACCCGAGCTGCATGCAGCGTAGTTGGGGCTGCGCGAGTGGAGGAAGCAAGGGAGCATTTCATCGACGCCGACACCGACGCCGATTTCAGGTTATCCTTTCTTTCTCTTTCCCTCTCTATTTTTCTCTAGAAATCTTCGATTAATTGTGTCCAATTTCATTGCTTTCTTCGTCTCATGTGTCCTTCACCCGCCGAACGAAGATTTAGGTGTTTGAATTTGCAAATGCTTAGATTTGTAGGGTTTTATTGCTTCTGATATGTTGTGGATTTTTCTTAATTTTGGTTTTGTACGGGTTAGGTCGCTGAGTTTTTTAATGAACTGGAATAACTTTTGTATGTTGGAATCTGTCTGTGCTAGCAAATGTATTGCATTTTCTCAACTCTATGGTTCGTATTTTTTAGGGTTTTTAATTACTTGTTATTGATTCAGGAAGAAGATTGTTTTCGTGTTTTTCGTTCGATATTCGGTATTTGCTGTGTGAGTTGTGCATTTGGAGTTCTGAGTGAAGTTAACATAAATGGAATATGGATTTTGTGTTTCTGAATTATGCGATTCGGTTTCCTTGTAGGTAAGCCATGGTGAAGCACAACAACGTTATCCCGAGCTCTCACTTCAGGAAGCATTGGCAGAACTATGTCAAGACCTGGTTTAACCAACCTGCTAGGAAGACCAGGAGGAGGACTGGTGAGTTACACTAGTCGTGTTTATCACCTCTTTTCTTGTTTCTTAGCTTTACGTCTACTCTTTTGTGTGCCCCGTACTAAACACTGTCGCTCACATCATCCTGCTTATTTCACAAACGATCATTTGTAATTTGACTGACTTGACTCTTTTATAATATCATCAGCTCGCCAGAAGAAGGCTGTGAAAATCTTCCCTCGTCCAACCACTGGGCCCCTGCGTCCCATTGTTCATGGACAGACTCTCAAGTATAACATGAAAGTGAGAGCTGGTAGAGGCTTTACTCTTGAAGAATTGAAGGTAAGTCAGGCGTCTAGTGTTATTTACTCATGGATTCCAATTATGGCATGCGAGTTTTATGGAAATCTTTGACAAAGTGCTTCATTTCATTCCTCTATTTTGCTTTGGAATTAGTGTTGGAATTCATCCAGCTTTTATTGTACGAGTTTATTGAAGTTGATTACAGGATGAAGTGTTATAAGGATAAATAAAATACGATTGTTTTTCAGTTTCGAAACATTTGCAGATCGCCAGATTCCATAAAAATATAAACATGATCCTAAATTTGGAATTCTTAGATCAGTTTTTGTGTTTATTTTGCTTCTGGTTTTAACAGATGAGCTTTTATGTGATGATTTTAACAAGTTGTTTACCTTGTTTGCTTACCAGTCTGCCGGGATTCCAAAGAAACTTGCACCAACAATTGGAATTTCTGTTGATCATCGTAGGAAGAATCGTTCTCTCGAGGGTCTTCAAGCTAATGTTCAGCGTCTGAAGACATACAAGGCCAAATTAGTGGTCTTCCCAAGACGCGCCAAGCATATCAAGGTGATGTTAAGTGGTTGATGTAGAGAAGTTTAAGAATGTTGATTTTATGTGTGCATGGTATCTTATCTTCATAAGTTCGTTTTTTTTTTTTTCCTCAGGCTGGTGATTCTCCTGCGGAGGAAATTGCCAATGCCACCCAGCTCCAAGGCCCCTACCTTCCAATTGCACGTGAGAAGCCTACAGTTGAGCTTGTGAAGGTTACCGATGAGTTGAAATCATTCAAGGCATATGACAAACTTCGCGTGGAGAGGATGAACACACGCCATATTGGTGCCAGGCTCAAGAAGGCAGCAGAGGCAGAGAAGGAAGAGAAGAAATAGAGAGCTTGATGCGCACTTGGTGTCGGGTTTCATTTTGGAAGGATTTTTGTTTTAGATTTTCATCTGTTAATTGCGGGATTTGTTTCTTGAACCCATCAATTTTAGAGTTTGTAAACTTAAGTAATCCAAGTTAAAGAGATGCTTCCATTGCTGTTTATTTCTGATACCATATTGGTGTTTATTTCTGGTGGCATATTGGTGTTTTGTTATTTGTGCTTGCATTTGATTTCGAATGATGTCGATTAAAAGCATATGATTTGGATCCAAGTTCCCTTGAATTGTTCATTCACATCAATATCAAATGGTTCAATCCCAGATCATACCATCTACCAAAACAAGGACCACAAATCATAATCTGTCTGCAAACTCCTTACTCCGTAAGATTGAGCAGCAAAACGCACTGGTAAGTTAGTGTATCTCTTTCAAAAACTATACAAGAAATTTGCTGGTTTCGAAGCTTGGACTCGGATCAAATCCAATGGCCATATTCCCCCGCAGAAATATCACAAACCTTCCAAATAGCACGTCCTTGCCAGTCCTCGTCTAAAACACCAGAGTCGTGGTCAGAGTCGTTCTGATGGTCTTCGCCAAAGTCGGCACAAACAATGTCATAGCCACTGCCAATTTTAGCGCCCTTGAGGATCAAAACAAATTAGGGGCAATTGCAATCCAAGTGGTTGCCTTCCTTAAGACAGACTTCACAAAAATAACCTACCTCTTTGATTAGGAGTTGATCCCTTTTCATTTCATCAACAACGGCCTGAATATCTTCTTCTTTCACTGTTTGTTTCTTTGTTCAAAAGATACATCAACCCACACAAGATAAACAGTTTTAGACCTTCCAATTGCACGTGAGAATAAGCCTACGGTTGAGCTTGTGAAGATTACCGACGAGTTGAGGCATATGACAAACTTGGCATGGAGAGGATGAACAAACGCCACGTTGGTGCCAGGCTCAAGAAGGCAGCCGAGGCAGACAAGGAAGAGAAGAGCTAGAGAGCTTTGGAGTCGTTTTAGGTTTTCATCTGTCGATTTGCTTCTTCAACCCATCAATTTTAGCGTTTGTTATATCTGATACCATATTGGGATTTTGTTATTCGTGATTGCATTTGATTTCGAATGATGCGGATTAAAAGCATATAATTTGGATCCAAGTCCCCTTGAATTGTTCATTCACATCAAAATCAGATTGTTCAATTCCAGATCATAATATCCACCAAAACAAGAATCACAAATCATAATCTCTGCAAAAACTCCTACTAATTCCGTACGATTGAGCAGCAAAACGCGCTGGTAAGTTAGTGCTCTCTCTTTCAAAAACTACACAAGAAATCGCAAGCAAATCCAACGACGACTCTGGAGTCTACTACCAGGCGTGCCAAGAACCCCACAAAAAATGTCCACCACCTCCCGATGGAATGCTTTCACGATAAGAACTCAATGCTTCAATGCCTGAAAAAATTTGTTAGATAGCATGCCGATGTAAGGATCTTCATAGAAATGAGTTATCAAACTATTTTCCCCCATCTCCATCTGCAATAATTACTACTGCCTAAAAACCTCACCGAAACTTGGAAAGAAATGAGACATTAAGCATGATTTATCTCCGAGTTCAAACGTGGCTTAAAACCCTAGATCCTGATACATCGATACTCCGCAAGACTAACTGTAACGAAATAATCTGGATTTGATTAGTTTCAACCACATAACTGGTTTAACAATGCAGCTGAGTATTTATCAAAACTCGGCATGTCTAGATTGTGGGTGTTCACACACTTTGGCTACGCAAGAACTTCTAGGCAGATTCTACGTTTTCTGTTACTTACATTCCATGTGTTCTATCAAATTTGCGTTTCATTGTCAAAACACTATACACCGTTACTAACAGATTGTAAGTTCATAATCCGAAAATCTGAAGAGGAAGAACATGCTTAAAAATTGCATCAATAAAGGAGAGTGTTCAGACGTTATACCTGAGAAGCCATAACCCATGTTCTATCCATCCAATCTTGGCGTGGCCTCAAATCGGAGTGCTGAAACATCAGTTCATCATCTGTACCTTTGAAGTAAACTTTGTACCTTCGCCCGGGAAGGACCTTGCGAATCACACCTTCCCACCAGCCATCATTATAGAAAGCATCAACCTCTTCCGTCAGACTGAAACTTTCAGCCGCAACCACTTTTGGAGGACGAGGCCTTATGTGCTCTGCATCGACCTCTTCCGTCAACAACTCCTTCTTGTCATCTGTCTTTATTGTCTTGTATCGAATGAAAAACTTATTCTTCTCCATTACTTTGACAATATTTGCAGCAAACCAAGCGCCTTGAAATCCATCTTCATCAGTGCAAACCTCAACCGTTGTTCCTTCCATCAATTCCTCCTTCATCTGAGTCTTTGGTTCTTTGGCATCTAAGACATCCTGCAGTCCGAGTTTTGACGAGGTTGCACTTAAAAACAAGACACAAGAAATTTGCAAGTCTTATCCCACTAAGTGGCGTCGGTTGCATAAACCTTAGAACGCTACTGCGCTCAGTTTAACGAGATAACTTTCTTCAATTTGGATATGCATTACTCAGAAGAGCACAACACGATCCTTGGAATCTGAATTTTCACTGCGACTATAAATACTACTAGGAACATGTCACTACAAATCATCCTTAATCATTGGAAAAACACACATACGAACAAAGATTCTGTCTTTAATCCCTAACTGGCAACAGTTAAACAGCACAAATAATCAAAACCAAGAAAATGTAAGAAAAATTGAAAAAAATTACTTACTCCTTGTTGAAGAGGTGGGACCCAGGACCCCTCTACCCACTCTCGGTGAAGCCGCAGCTCCTCGGGCTCGAACTCAAACTTCTCCTTGGCGAACCGGAAGTAAACCCCAAGCGTGTTGTCCACCAAAACATCACTGACCACGACGCCCTCCCACCACCCGCCGCAAAAGAAGGCGTCCACCACGTCGCCCAATTTGAACCGGTAGTCGTTTTCTCGCGGCGGAGGAGGCCGGAGGAGAGCCGCGTCGACCTCTTCCCTCAGCGCCGCCTTGCCGCCCTTGTGGCCGCCGCTGATCTTGCGATCGATCCGGGCCTTCACTCTGTTGTACTCTACTTTGAATTTCGATTTTGTTCTCGACATGGCGACGATTTTCGCCTGGAATGTGGTGCCGCGCATGTTGTGGATTGGGGAGGTGACCTCCACCTCGTCGCCTACCTCGAAGTGGGGGTCGTCCGCCATGGCCGTCGCCTGCGAAGCTCTCTGTCAGGTAGGTCTCTAAGTCTTGGACTCTTAGGCTCAGAGCCCATCGGCATTCAAACTCGTGCCCTTATATATAACATTTAAAGCCGAAAAGCCCAGTCACATCGTTGGCCCAATCCTAGACAGAAATATCTACGACTGATAGCATCATCTTCTTCTTCCCAACCAAAAACGCGAGCACCAGAGCTCCGTCTCTGCAACCTCTCAAATTCGACGGAAACAAACAATGGAAGAAGAATAACGCTGCAGTCTAAACCACAGCAGCCATGGCGTTCTCAGGAGTGCTGACCGTCACCACGTCACCCTTACTGCATTCAAGCTCGATGTCCTCCTCACCTTCAATTTCCAAGGTATGCAGCAAACCAACTTCTCTAATTTCTTGCTCTTTGACACCTACGCCGCCGTCTGCCACCGATTCTACTTCTAGATTTTCCGCGGAGCCACCGTCTGACTCTATTACTACAACTAACGTGAAAACCGCTCAGAAATTTAGCTACAGCAGAGCCTCCCCATCAGTCAGATGGCCCCACTTGAAACTAACAGAAACTTACCCCTCACCACCTACACAATTCACCGTTGCTTCTCCTCCGCCGAACCATGTCGTCGGCGATTCCCCTGATGGTGGAGAGGAAGACCAGAATTTGGGTTCTGTGGGAGCTTTGGAGGAGAGGAATGACGAAACCCAACAAGTGCTGGGGAGGCCGAGCAAAACCAAGGCGAAGAAAATGACGAAACTTGCTCTCAAAAGAGCAAAAGATTGGCGGGAAAGAGTGAAGCTTTTTACTGATAGGATTTTGGGGTTGAAATCCGACGAGTTTGTAGCCAATGTGTTGGATGATAGGAGAGTTCAAATGACTCCGACTGATTTTTGCTTTGTGGTGAAATGGGTAGGCCAGTCGAGCTGGCAGCGCGCATTGGAGGTGTACGAATGGTTGAATTTACGCCATTGGTACTCCCCAAATGCTCGAATGCTTGCCACTATCTTGGCTGTTCTTGGAAAGGCTAACCAAGAAGAATTGGCTGTGGAGATATTTCAAAGGGCTGAACCTGGAATTGGGAATACAGTCCAAGTGTACAATGCAATGATGGGTGTTTATGCTCGAAATGGTCGGTTTAGCAAGGTCCAAGGACTGCTCGATGTAATGCGTGAGAGAGGGTGCGAACCGGACCTTGTGAGTCTCAATACTTTGATCAATGCTCGGCTAAGGTCAGGTGCAAAGACACCAAATTTGGGAATTGAACTTTTGAATGAGGTGAGAAGGGCGGGTCTTAGGCCTGATATAATCACTTATAACACTCTTATAAGTGGCTGTTCGCGTGAATCTAATTTAGAGGAGGCAGTGAATGTTTACAATGACATGGAAGCACATAATTGCCAACCTGATCTTTGGACTTATAATGCCATGATTTCGGTGTATGGGAGATGTGGAGAGTCAAGCAAAGCCGAGAAGCTCTTTAAGGAATTGGAGTCGAAAGGGTTTTTCCCAGATGCAGTGACATATAATTCTTTGTTGTATGCTTTTGCAAGAGAACTTGATATAGAGAAAGTAAGGGATATTGGTGAAGATATGGTGAAAATGGGGTTTGGTAAAGATGAGATGACGTATAATACCATCATCCACATGTATGGAAAGCAGGGCCAGCATGATTTAGCATTTCAGGTTTACAGGGACATGAAAATGCTAGGCCGGATTCCTGATGCTGTTACCTACACTGTGTTGATAGATTCACTTGGAAAAGCAAATAAGATAACACAGGCTGCTAATGTAATGTCAGAGATGTTGGACAGTGGAGTGAAACCCACTCTTCGGACGTATAGTGCTTTGATGTGTGCATATGCCAAGGCTGGTAAACAGGTGGAGGCTCAAGAGACATTTGATTGCATGGTTAGGTCGGGTATTAGACCTGATCATCTGGCATACTCCATTATGTTGGATATCTATCTAAAGGTCAATGAGACAAAGAACGCAATGGCATTGTATCACGAAATGATGCAGGATGGTTTCATGCCAGATAATATTCTCTATGGGGTCATGCTGCGGGTTCTTGGAAAAGAGAATAAATTGGAAGGCATTGAAAAAGTGATCAGAGATATGGAAAACGTTGGTGGTATGAACCCACAAGTTATCTCTTCTATTCTTGTTAAGGGAGAATGCTATGACCAAGCTGCCAGAATGTTGAGATTAGCTATTAGTAGTGGCTATGAACTAGACCGGGAAAATCTTTTATCTATTCTTAGCTCGTATAGTTCATGTGGAAGGCACTCAGAAGCATGTGAATTGCTTGAATTTTTGAGAGAACACGCTCCCAGTTCCACCCAACTGATAAATGAAGCACTGGTTGTCATACAATGCAAGGCTCGTGAATTTGATGCTGCCTTGGTGGAATATAGTAATACCAGGGGATTCCATTCTTTTAGTAGAAGTCCTACCATGTATGAAATTCTTATTCAAGGCTGCCAAGAGAATGAACTCCTTGGTGAAGCTTCTCAGGTTTATTCTGACATGAGATTATATGGCGTTGACCCCTCTCAACATCTTTACCAAATTATGGTGCTCATATATTGTACGATGGGTTTCCCTGAGACAGCACATCATTTGATTGATCAGGCAGAGACAAAAGGCATTTTATTTGACAATGTCAACATATATGTTGATGTTATTGAAGTCTATGGGAAATTGAAGCAGTGGCAGAAAGCTGAAAGTTTGGTGGGAAGTCTCAGACAGAGATGTAAATCAGTGGATAGGAAGGTCTGGAATGCCTTGATACAAGCTTATGCTGCAAGTGGTTGCTATGAGCGAGCTAGAGTGATATTTAACACAATGATGAGAGATGGTCCTTCCCCAACAGTAGATTCTGTTAATGGTCTTTTGCAAGCTCTGGTTGTTGATGGGAGATTGGACGAACTCTATGTTCTAATCGAGGAGTTGCAAGATATGGGTTTTAAAATAAGCAAGAGTTCAATTCTCTTGACACTTGAAGCATTTGCTCGAGACGGTAACATATTTGAGGTTAAGAAGATATACCAAGGAATGAAGGCTGCAGGCTATTTTCCCAACATGGATTGTTTCAGGATTATGATCAAGTTATTGTGCAGGGGAAAACGAATAATGGATGTTGAAGCAATGGTTTCTGAGATGGAAGAGGCAGGATTCAGGCCTGATCTCTCAATATGGAATTCTATGCTTAAGTTATATGCAGGAATTGCGGATTTCAAAAAGACAGTTAAAGTATACCAGCGGATTAAAGAGGCTGCACTTCAACCAGATGAGGATACTTATAATACTTTAATCATAATGTACTGCAAAGATCGTAGACCAGAGGAAGGTTTGTCATTGATGCATGAAATGAGAAGGCAGGGGCTAGAACCTAAGTTGGATACTTACAAAAGTTTAATTTCAGCGTTTGGTAAGCAGAAGTTGTTGGATCAAGCTGAGGAACTATTCGAAGAGTTAAGGTCAAATGGATGTAAATTGGATCGCTCATTTTATCATACCATGATGAAAATGTTTAGAAATTCAGGAGACCATGACAAAGCTGAGATGCTGTTGGCTACGATGAAGGAGTCTGGAATAGAACCCAACTCTGCCACAATGCATTTGCTTATGGTTTCTTATGGCAGCTCTGGACAGCCTCAAGAAGCTGAAAAGGTGCTTGACAATTTGAAAGTAACTGGCTTAGATCTTGATACGTTACCGTATAGTTCAGTTATTGGTGCTTATCTGAAGAACGGAGATTATAACATTGGAATTCAAAAGCTCAACGAGATGAAGGAAGGCGGTCCGGCGCCAGATCATAGACTTTGGACTTGTTTTATAAGGGCTGCAAGTTTGTCTCAGCACAGAAGTGAAGCTTTTATTCTCCTAAACGCACTGCGTGATGTTGGATTTGATCTTCCTATCAGGTAATTATTGGTTCTCATGTTGGAGAGAGACTGAAGCTCACAAACAAAATTTCTTCTTCTTCCATGCTTTATTGTTTTGGCTGATCCATTTCCAAACAAATCGTTGTCTTGTAGGCTTGTGACCGAAAATCCTGAATCGCTAGTTTCAGAAGTAGACTGTTGTCTAGAGAAACTAGAACCCCTAGAAGACAATGCAGCCTTCAACTTTGTCAACGCATTGGAGGACCTTTTGTGGGCATATGAACTCCGAGCCACTGCTTCATGGGTTTTCCAATTGGCCGTAAAGAGAGGCATCTATAACAATAATGTGTTCAGGTAGGTATTGATAGGTCGAAATTGTGAAGGCTAACTTAACCAACAAACGATGTGCGTTTTCCTTATTATTCAGTATTATTTCGATCAGTTAGCTTATACCTAGTAACCCTTTAAATGCAGGGTAGCTGACAAAGACTGGGGTGCTGATTTTAGAAAGTTGTCAGCTGGTTCTGCTCTTGTTGGTCTTACATTATGGCTTGATCAGATGCAGGCAACTCTCTTTTTCCCCAGTAGTTTTCTTTGCTATCTACCCTTTTGTATCTCCACTTTCATTTCTGAGTCTTACACAGAGGTCCTTAACATATGGCAGGATGCATCCTTGGAGGGTTATCCAGAGTCTCCGAAATCAGTTGTCCTGATAACGGGAACATCCGAGTACAACATGGTTTCACTTAATAGCACATTGAAGGCATGCCTTTGGGAGATGGGTTCGCCTTTTCTGCCTTGCAAAACACGAAGCGGCCTTCTAGTAGCAAAGGCACACTCCCTCAGGATGTGGTTAAAGGACTCCCCGTTTTGCTTGGACCTTGAGTTGAAAGATGCCCCATCTCTCCCCGAATCAAACTCAATGCAGCTCATCGATGGATGCTTCCTAAGACGCGGTCTCGTTCCTGCGTTTAAGGAGATAACTGAGAAGCTTGGACTAGTGAGACCAAAGAAATTTGCTAGATTGGCTCTGCTATCAGATGAAAAGAGAGAGAAGGTTATCGAAGCTGACATTGAGGGGAGGAAAGAGAAGTTAGAAAAAATGAAGGAAAAGGGGGAACCGAGGAGGGTGAGCAGGATTAAAAGGCTTGGGAAGAGGAAGTATGTAAGACCAATGTTGTCAAATACCAAACATATTGTATCAGCAAGAAAAGCCTTCAAATAGATATGTATATGGAGACCCCATTGGGAAGAAGCTTTGAGGTAAGCATATGAGCTCACATTCCGAAATTATGCAAATATTTTGTCTTGTTGATCATTTCGTGTTCGACTATTTGCTTTTTTGTTTCGTGTTTTTTAAGACAATTTTCTTGCTGTGGTTTGCATTATCCGGATGGCTTTTTCAGATATTGATTTTCGCTATTTGGGTGCTTCCATTTGCTGCTCCTCTTCTCATCGGAGCAGTTGCCAACAACCTTTTTATTAAGGTATTACTGGTTGCATATGTTTGTGGTTAGTGATCTGCTAGTCTGCAACTAAACCGATTGGGTTTGTATGGAAATTTTAACTTTTTAACGCAATCAATCAGATGGCTATTTGAATGGCTAAGTGTGTTGTGCGAAATTTGGAATTTGGACAGGGTGCTGTCGGGCTTGTAAGAGGCAATTTGTTGGTTACAAGAATCGAGTAATCCGTTGTGGAAGCTGTGGAAACAGTGTGGCAGCCAGATTTTCAAGAGACGGTAGGGGAGGCCCTTCTTCGTCAAAGTCAGAGCCGGAGATTATTGATGTTGAAGTTGATGAGAAATGAAGAGAAACCCAAGATGTGGGGGAAAATCGCGTATGGTAGACTTTTAGATTACATACAGAGCAATGAGAAGGCACAAGAGTTTTTACTTTAATTTTGATACAGAGTCTTGTTCTTTGCTTTCGTGTCCGTGTAAATAGTGCCATCTGTATTAGTTCTTGCAAGAATTGTGCAACATGCCAATGTGTACATCTTTTTCTCTACTGGGAAGACTCGGAAAACAAAATTCATGGCCTTGTTAGTGATGACTGATCAGCAATTTTTGGTGCTTCTGTTTGCTTTAATCTGGAGTCAGGATAAGTTGTCGTGTTATTTTACAAGGCATTTCGCTTTTATTGGACTCAAAACAACTCCATTTGTCGCAGTTTCTTGTTATTGTTTCCCTTTTCGGCTTATATAGACATCTGTATTGAAATTCTCAGGTCATTTTTCGGATTACGCTGTGAACTCTTAGCTTAGCTAGCTTCCAGTTGCATTGTTTTAGTTAACAGTTTGATTTTTATTCAATCGAGTCTGGTCTATATTTTATCTATGCTCCTAACATTTGATTCTATGTCATGTGTCACTACAATCTGCATTGCTTTCTAATTACAAGCGATATTCTTCACTAATCTTAGTATTCAGACCCAAAATGCTGTAAATTGAAGAAAATTGCCATAATCCACCACTTCCATTTTTTTTAAGTTACGCTTATCGCTACTCGGAAAAATGAAATAGTAGAAACATGTAAGAACCGAGTGTAAGTGACCAAATTTATAGAAGGCCAAAACTGGAAAACACAAACTATTAACATGAAATGACTGCATCGGCAACAAAATACACCGAAAAAATAGAGCTTTAGATGATCAACGTGACGTAGAATGCAATGCAACATCTGCAATATATCACATAGAACACTGCTTCCGTCTGTTGCAACTCACCGGCTCTTCATTCCAAAACAGTAGTTGGACATAGGCACCCGGCTAGAACGATCAAATCTTGCACCATACAACCCTACTGCCAACATAATTGCAGAGAAATACTTGTGCAACTTCTCCCTAGAGCTTTTATCGTCTTTCATCGAGTAATTTATATCCTAGTTCTTCTGTACCACACCGATTAGGCCTCTGCCCAAAAACATATAACATTTCTTCCCTTTATGAAATCACACACGGCAAACAAAGCCTTCCGAGAGTACCATGAGACATTGAGCAAGGGTATCCTATGAGAATAATATCAGATTCAACAGATACTCTTCAGATTATCATGGAACCTAATCGGAAGATTCGCTTTCAAGAGCTGGAATTCTGCGGAAGCGTGCAAAATATCGAGAGTACGACACATCCACGTTATTTGACGCCACGGATCTCTTCTGCCTTGCCGCAAACCCCTTACCAGAAAGTGAATCGTACAAGTCACCCAGGTCCATCTCTTTTCTGACCCTACCACTTTCCTGTAGAAAACTGGAAATTTACAACCAAAAACATATCAGGGAATCTATATTAGATATAAAATATAACTAAAAAGCAGGAAACTATATCACAAGATCGAAATATTTGCTCATTGAAAGTGAATGCCTATTGCCTGGTGATGGTAAAACAATGAATTTTGACCATACCGTTGGCGAAGGATGTTAAAAGCTTCTTTTGTTGCATAAGGTAGCCCTGTCTTTGGATCACGGTACCTAAAGCATCAAATGAACCGAGATGGTAAGATAGGCGCCTTAAACATCACTCCTCACATTCTCTATGGGCATTCATAGCTGCTTGTCTAAACAACTACTCGGAAACCTAAGCACTTACTTGGCAGGTAAACCAGTAACAGCACAGACAGCTTTCTCAGGGTCTGGAAATAAAAAGGAATAAAAATACATGCATCAAAACCACGGTTATGATACCAAACTTTAAGAAACCCTGAATGTAACATTCATAAAACTATTACGTACAGGGAACAGGCGCGGTAGAGATTTCTGACTGAAATGACAATCCTCTACTGAATTCCAGATATGAGCGGCCTGAAGGAAATGTAACTTAGATTTCTTTCTAGGAAACTGATATTGCCATAATAACAAAATCTGCATGCGCGGACGGGTAATTCTTGTTTCCAAACAAACAAATTTGGTCAAAATAGTGTATTGCTGAAAGCTTACCATCTTTTGAGAAATAACGTACTTGTGGACCAGTATAGACAGCCTTATGTACAATTGCTCTTTTCTTAACTTCTTCCTCCCTTGCTAGAACACGCTCCAAATTTCTCAAGTTCATAATTTCTGTAGATTTACAGGTAACAAATCAAGCTTAGTTACAGCCTCACTTCCAAATAAACATTAACAAGTACCACGCAATTCACGTCACTTACTAATTAGTAATTACTAATGCTGAGACATAAAGTCCAAACCTGTTTGAGCTGCTTCTAAGAGCATCTCTTCTTGGGTCATCCTCTTCTCCTCGCCTTCCTTTTTTCTCTTAATTGGCTGATGAAAACCAAAATTGATATCCATTACAAACAGTATGACGTGTTTTGTCAAACACAACGGTCTCATAAACAATAAACACCACATCTTCAATCAGAATTTGAAGTTCATTCAAAACTGACCTTCATGGTTGCTTGCAAAGCCGCACGTATTGCATCCCTCTCAGCTTGACGGACAACCACTGAAGTTCTCGTAGATTTTCTCACAGTTCTCTCTACTTCTGCTTCCTCAGGAGCATCCTGATGTTGTTCGGGATGAGAAGACTTCTCAGTTCCATCCTTGGATTTTAGTTCCGACAGAACTCTCTTCTTCTTTTTCTTGCTCGATTGCTTTCCCGGATATATCAGCCGCTTCTTCGTCCTGACTCTGTTAATTCACCAAACACAATCAAGTCCGAGTAAAAGAAATCTAAATGTCATTTGTGCAAACAAAACTCAACCCACCTCTCATCTGCGTCGTTGTTTTCCGCTCCTTCGTCGGGGTCTGGCTCCTAACAACAGATTAAGAAACTCTAAGAAAGATCCAACTAGTACAATAGTAACATATAGAGTGAACAATCAATAAAAAATAAAAAATAAAAAAAAATCCTCACATCTTCGTCGAAATCGCTATCAAACTCATCAGCAACCTCAGGCTCTGCTTCATAGTTTCCATCATCTTCATCCTACCAAAATTTTCATACATAACATAACCTATAACTACAAAAAAATAATAACTGAAAAATATATAAAATTAGACCAAATTTAAAATATATTATTTATTTTTTCACCTCTTTGAGAGCCTCCTGATTCCAGAACATCTCATCCTCTTCGATTTCCTCATCGAGTAACTTAGTCATCCTGAAAAATCATTAAAAAATTTAAATTCTAAAAAATCGATTCCAAAATCTCGATACTTCTCGAATGAATCGGTTAATTTAATTACCTCTTCCCTCTGGTGGCGCGTGAGGTCGGATCGAGAAAAACAGCCGGCAGCTCATCCATTGGGACCTCCATGGCAAATCGAGAGAGATTTCGAGGACTAAACAGCAAAAACCGTTCCGATTTTGGATCAGCTGGACGGACCGTGCTCTGCCCTAGCTCTCCCCCGCCAAAGTTTCAATCTCACAGTTGAGTTAGGTACGTAAAGAGAAAGAGAAAGATATAAATGACACGTCGTGCGTTTTGCGGCTTGTTACGACGAACGACATGTCGTTAACTCCGTAGTGGAAGTGCTCACTCTATCAGTGTCAGTCCAGCTGGAGTTCTCCCTGTTTCTCTCCGTCTCTCTCTCATCTCTAATGGCGACAGCGCTTCGGTGCCCGCAAGCAGCGGTACGGCTTCCGTGGGGGGCGAGAAGGCCCAACGGCGGAAGAGGCCCCCGCCACTGCCAGGTGCCGAACATCCGGGCGTTCCAGCGTAGCGACATCGGAAGCTTCGCGAAGGACGCGTGGCGGAGCGCCAACGACGGATTCGAGCGGTTCCTTTTCGAGGCTAAGAAGACCGCCGAACGCCTCGACCGCCAGTACGCCCTCTCCCGCCGCTTCGACACAATCGCTCGCTCAGCCGCAACTCGCGCTAAAGAAATCGATAGGGAACTCGAGATTGGCACGCGCTGGCGCGCTTTCAGCATGGATTTCAACAGAAATTGGCCTAGGGTTTGTTCTTCTCCCGCTCTTACTCTTTTGCTTTCGGTATACATGTATGCGCATGTCGTTGCGTTTGGTGAATTTTCTGGTTTGGTTGGTGTTTGGCAACCTTGCAGTACAGGAAGCAGCTTTCTGATTCCTTGGAGACCCCGTTGGGAAGAAGCTTTGCGGTAAGCGTATGAGCTTACATTCCGAAATTATGTAAAGATTCTGTCTTTCCTGTTGATCATATCGTGTTCGACTAATTCGTATTTTCGCTTCATGTTTCTGAATGATTTTGAAGACCATTTTCTTCCTGTGGTTTGCATTATCCGGATGGCTTTTTCGGATATTGTTTTTCGCTACGTGGGTGCTTCCATTTGCTGCTCCTCTCCTCATAGGAGCTGCCAACAACCTTGTTATTAAGGTATTAATGGCTTTTTGTTAATGTTAGTGATCTGCTGGTCTGCAACTAAATCGAGTGAGTTGTATGGTAGTTTTAACTTTGTAACTCAATCGATCGGATGCCTATCCGAATGGCTAAATGTGTTTGTTTTTTGAAATTTGGACAGGGCGATTGTCCGGCTTGTAAGAGGCAATTTGTTGGTTACAAGAACCAAGTAATCCGTTGTGGAAGCTGTGGAAACACCGTGTGGCAGCCAAAATCAGACTTCTCTTCAAGAGACGGTAGAGGAGGCCCTTCTTCAAAGTCAGAGCCGGAGATTATTGATGTTGAATTTGAGGAGAAATGAAGAGAAACTCGAGATGTGGGGGATGATCGCGTATGGTAGAACTTTAGATTACATACATAGAGTAATGAGAAAAGCGTCAGAGTTTTTACTTTCCATTTATTTCGATATAAAGTCTTGTTCTTTGCTTTCGTGTGTGTGTGTGTGTGTGTAAATTGTGCCTCATGTGTTTTTGAATGTCTTGTAAGAACTGTGCATTCGTGCCAATGTATACATCTTTTTCTCTACTAGGAATGTTGAGAAAACAAAAAACATGGCCTTTTTGGTGCTTCTGGTAGATTTAATCTAGAGAACGGACAAATTGTCCTGTTATTTTGCAAGATATCTCGCTGTGTATCGGAAATTCAAAGCAACTGCACTTGTTGCAGTTTCTTGTTATTGTGGAGAATGTCTCGTTCGATGGAACGGTCTTCAGAACAATACAAATGACAGTGTGCAAGAAACACCGTCGTTAAGCGATGAGTTTGAATATTAGAAACTGTAACCGTTTCAGGTTTGCTAAACATCAACTATGCATCTGTAAGAGATTAGAAATGCTTGATGTCCAGACCAAAGTTTGGTTTTCATCTTTAAACAAGAGCTTGATATCTCCATTGTTGCTCCTTAGGCAGATCGAAAAGTTGCCGTGACCCTGAGCTTCCTTGTATCCCTCCATCACACGCAAAATCTTATCTGGAAATATCGTAAGGAAACTGTAAATTCACTGAAAACAAAACGAAAACAAAACGAAAATCAGAAGCCTCTGATCTTACACTCCTTTCTTGTTGCTAAGAATCCCAGATGCTTCTTTTGGATGCTCAGAATGAGCTGACTGTGCTTCGAGTATACGGACGCCCACCCGTATCTTCTGCTTCCTGCTTCAGCAAACAATAATTTATCTTCTTTTCGTTCTTGTAACAGCAACGGGGTTGAAAAATGTGTCCCGTATTTTCTTACCAGAAGGAGTGACAACTGATAGTTCGGCCTTTACTTCCAGCAAATTTCGGTTTTTTGGAAAGTAGGCATCCGGGATAGCTCTTGCTTTGAGTGCTGCAGCTCCTCTTAAACCTGCAAGGGATCATTTCGTCAAGTTAAACCCATGTTTTTATGCAGATTCTGGCGAAGGAAACATTCGATGGATTGGGAATTACTTGTTGCAGCAGCGGCTGTGAGTGTGATCATGTCGCCGGTGGTCTGGATAGCCAAGCCTGAGTTGATGGCAGAAGAAACATGAGTGGTGTGCGCACCCAACGACTCTGCAGCTTCGGCACATACTGCAGTAACCAGAGCTGCCGCAGAAGCAACAACGTTGCCTATGATGATGGGATTGCCATCATCACCGACTTCTACTGATTCTATGCCGTTCTTGGCAGCTGCAACGCTGGCAATCGCAGCAGCCAAGCGCGTGACAGAGAGCGCTGCGTGAACGCTAGCTGTGTGAAGCCGGATATCTTCTTTCTTCTTCAGTCTGTGCTGTCTAAGTAAGCTGGTTAAGGATTTGCGTCCCCACCATGATCCCCTGCTGAACATATTGGTTCTCCTCTGAAGTGGAAACTCATTTATAACTTCTTCTGTCGCCAGTTTCCGATCTTCAGGTTCCCCTGAGCTAAACTTATCGTCCGGCTGTCCGTCTTGTTTCGCTGAACTCCGGTCATGTGAAGGAGACACGTCCTGCAAATTAAGGAGTCATCTTGGTAAGGTAGACCAGAGTAGCCAACTTGGCGTTACGCGTAGAAGTAATGTTTCCACACTTTTTTTTTCCTGTACTCCTCCCTCTTTTCTTCGGATTAAATAGAAGTGATAATCCTAAGATTGGCATAACTTTTACTTTGATCCTGAGAATTAAAATCGATACAATTGGTTTCTGAGTTTGTCCATCATCGATCTTTCTATCCTTATGAGATAAATCTTCATTAAATAAGAATAAAATAATAAAAATACCCTCAATTTTTGTAAATATTTTGGTTTATTAAATTGAGGATATTTTTGTCATTTTGATCCTAATTTAACATAATTTTCACGGAATAACCAAATTGATTTATTCAAATCTAAGGAACCAAAATAAAGAGTTATGCCAATCTCAGAAATCATTTTGGCTAAAAGCATTTTATAAATTATATGAGAATCAAGAGAAGAATGCATAGGAGAAAACGAAAGTGTGAAAATCATATTAACAAACGATTTTACGTTAATTTGATAGATTTAGTAAAGCGTTAAGGTTTCTCACGGTTGATGTAAACATCTGTTGAAAGTTATGGGCAGACGAACTCCACGAGCGACAGAGAAACTCCATGGCATGAATTGGGCTGTGTGGAATCTCCACGTACATTGCACACCAAATAATTAGCAACAGAAAAAAAGATTAATTAAGTTGAAATAAACTCAATTTTTCACTCCCGGCCCTCACAAAATAGAAAGCCTTATGAGCTTGGGATCGTCCGTTTTTAATTCTCTTTTCTAGCCAATAAACTCACTGTGTTAGTTGATTGGTATTGCTGGGCTTTAAAGGAGACTGATTTGCCCGCTCCAACAATCCTATGCAGTTCCTCCATGAATGCTACATGTGCCTGCATTAAAAGACTATCACGTCGGAAACCTAACAAAATAAAGTACAATACGTACTATTTTGCGTAAAATTTCATACCTTAAGTTGAGGATAGACAGTCGTTGGGATTAGTAACGTGTCGTTAAAATTAGTAGCATGTTGTTGAGATTAGTAGCTTGTCATCTTTCTCTAAAACCTTAATATAACGATTTAGAACTAGTTTGCATGACAATAGTAACCAAGGTAAACAAAAGAGTTGCTTAAATAGGAAACCTTGTCATCCCAATGGAGTGCTAGTTGTGTACAATTTTAATAGTTTCCGAGGAAGGTGGTAGGGAACTAGGGTGGGTGAAAACTGTGACACTCTTCCCAAATAGACCCCATAGTTTAATTACTAGTATTATTTTGAGTAGTTCTACTTAGGGATATATGGTCACGTGGGAAGCAAGAAAGATGACCAATTGTTTCATCTTCTTCATACTAAAACAGGACTCTGTCACGTGCCATTTTCGTTTTGCCCAATCGTTGCAAGGGCTGCACGTGCACATGTATGGATGTGTTACAATTTTGATGCACTTGTGGTCCTTCAGGATGTTAGTTTGACAAAGAGATCATCTAATATCAATGGTTTTAAAGAAACGGGCCGCAATTGACTACTTATTTTATTGAAATTGTCGTTCTAATTAAGTTTCTTACTACCTAAATGGTGCAAAAACGAGAGTTTTATCACAAAGGAGTTTATTGTTATTAAAAAATTTGTAGATTTTTCGATGTAAGATTTTTTTGTATTCTTCAACATCCAAGCCATAGAAGACCAGTTTGCGGATTTCAACCAATTATGATGATGAGTTTTTCTCTTTTATTTTGTTCATTTGGTGCAATAAAATGTCGACTTAGGGTATTGTTTATGTTTCAAACGAAGTGAGAGAGAACTTGGATTACTTTCGAAGAACTAAATATAAGACCTCGAATGCAAAAATGAATGGACTAAAGCTACAAATGTCTTGCTTTTAGTACCCTTTTTAAATATGAGCTTCTCTCTTCGTTGTAGTCGACTTCTTGTTTGATAGCATTTTGCTTTGGCTTCTTGGAGATTATTGCAACCAAGATAGAGTCGTAATGACATAATATGTCCAACAGATGTTTGCTACATATTTATTTTAGGGCATCGTTGGATTGAATGAATCAAACAAAAACAACGATCATGATTAAACAGAAATGTGTGAAAACTTGAAAAAATGTGTTGGATCAATTCTCATTCCAATAGAAGATTAATACGTCTAGACAGCACCTCCGTTCTTATATGGGTATAGGAAAAGGGCTTCAAACGAGAGTATTGGCTAACCGCGCAACTTGGGGCCGGGCTGCTCAGCGTGCCACGCCACGAACACAGTTAAACACAAGTTAATGCTAGAGAGACCAACGATTTAAATCATATTTTGTTAACCGTAAGTTTGCTTATTATCAAAATAAGTGGATTGGAACATAAATTTGAAAATTTTAACTTCCAACAACAATTTAGAGATTCCACACCAATACATGTGTTTTCTGTAGTAAACTTGCTTCCAGCCACATACCGGAAAACAAAATTCGGCGATTTTGATCCTAACCAAGTGAATAGAAGAGTTTGGGAGGGGGCGGTACTGATCCTGAGATCGCGCAACAAAAATACGGTTGCACAAGACAAAAACCACGCAATTACTTTAAACCTATACAAGAACCATAACCGGCGTTTCTACAATAACAGAACACGTTCATACGGCCTCCATCTGTTTCTTGTATTCTGCCGCAGAAAAAGCTTCTTAAGCCCTCAGATGTCCACTAATGAGAGCGATATAATCTCCTTTTTTTCATTCATTGTAGACTACAGCAAGATAGGCAGGTCATTCATTTCGGATAGAAACATACTTGTCACCGAGCGCTTGAGATTTTAAAATTTCATTCATAAGGTTCTTGAACTTAAGGCTGCAATCTCCACCGCTGCAGGATAACAACATATAACAAAGTATTAGTCGGTTCATTCAATGTTCAAAACAAACGCCATGCACACAGAGCAAGGAAAACAAAATACTGTACGGAAAGGAGAAGAAACAGGAATTTCGTGCAGAATGTACAGCAGGACTAGGATATAAAGCAGGGGCAAAACCTTATACGATGCAAGGACGCAATAGCTCTCAGAGCGCTGCGAATCATGTCTTCATTGCGGTCTACTTCTTGCTTGACAGCATCTTGCTTTGGCTTAAAGTTGATAGTTTTTTGGAGAGGATCCACCAACGAGTCCAGCACTGGAGGATAGAAAATTTTAGATTGCAAATTAACGGCATAACTTCTGAATCTTAGGAAAGAAAAATCGGTAAATTAACTGACCTGCCAGTACAGCAGATGGACACTTGTCCGCAAGCTTTGAGAGGATAAGATGGCAAGGCATCTTAACATCATAATGATCTGGAAAATTGAATCCAATTCAGTTTACAAGGTAATAAATTTAATAAGCACCACATGCTAACCATCCATCTTCAAATATGCATGAACAAAAACGAAACTCACCATCCAGACCAGATCTAAGATAAGGAACAATAAAAGACGAAGGGTTCACTTGATCAAGACAACTATCCAGCAATGTGTCCACACATTCAAATGCAGCCTTCCTTAACTCAAGTCCATCATCTACAGTGTGCTTAAAAGGGCCAAGATCAACTGTCCTGATCAATTCTTTCTGCATCCAGGATTTTCAAGCTAAATAAGAGATCAACCCATGGCTAAGTAAAACAAATGAACGAATGATAGATGGCGGTGTTACATATAATACGGAGCATTCAAGCTCAACTGATACAAATCAAGTGACAGCTGATAAAATGTAACTCGGAATTCTATGCAAGACAGATAATAATGCTATAATTGTAGTAATACCATGAATGTCCTATATTCTGCAAAGGCAGTCTTGCAACCACATAACGGAGGGATAAGTTCAGAACGCTCAACCAACCTTGATGACTGTTTGATCATAAAGAAGCGGCAACAACTCTGGCAGGAGCCCCTTGATCAGATTTGGCTTATTGTGGGCAAATGTACTTAAAACCAACACAGCCGCACGCCTCACATGCTGCATTAGACCATACCAAATCAGTAACCAAAAAATCTAAAAGTCCAAACCAACCAAGAACATAACAGCTAACACAATATTGAAAAACAGAAACAATCAAGGGAAACGAAAAACTGAAAGATGGTTTAAAACCCAAAGCACTTTATTTAGTTTATCAAGCATCAGAAATCTAAGACTAACCCGGTCATGATCCTTAATAAGCATCAGGAAAGATGCAATTTCAGGATACAAAATCTCATCTATCCTCTCCGGCCTCTCAACTATTGAATATTTAACTGCAATGACAACAGTAGCTCTTGTGAAAGCAGCTGGACTGGTTGTTCGTACCTATAGAAACTTAGGATTAGAAAACACAGATATGAAAGTGCAACCCATCAAATATTTTAATAACAAAGCTTAGGCAGAAGGCACAGGGTCGTTTGATAAAATACCTTCAGTGCAGGAACAAGTTTTGTGGGTTCGATAAGTGCTATTTTACCAAGACACTCAGCTACAACATTGCGGACACCCTCTTCCTCGCTTTCACAGTAATTAAAAAGTAAATTAAGTATCTTCTCAACACTGGAATCTGGAAACTCTGCTTTATCTACAGATTGCCTTACTATGACCTGGAAAAAGGATGAATACAAACTTAAATACGACAAAACAGACAATACAGGTAACAAAATCAGGCTCTTAAAGTTCAGAAGAATGCACCTCCTTCAGAGAATGAAGCAAGAGGTACTGTTTTTTCTGCTGATTGTCAATCTGGTCCAATATAAAAGGCAAATACTTGAGTAGGTTACCAACAGCAATATTGCCAAGAGCATAGGAGGCTGCAGATTTAATCTCTTCGAAAGGAGATTGAAAGGATTCAATGACAATATTCTCTATATGGTCGTGGGAGCCTAGATCTTTCCGCCTCCCAATCTCCCCGAGACACAGCAAAGCAAGGTGCTGCTTAGCCTATATCATAATAAAAAGAAAGCAATTATACCGGGCACAAAAATAGTTTATGGCAATAAATAATACTAATGAATCCACTAAATCCCATCATTCTACCCCAAACCAACTCAATATCTACAATTAATCACCAAACCATCGCCACCTTTAAAGATGACCAAATAATAATAACTTATCAAAAATCTATTAGACTACCCCATCTGTACAGTGACAGTTTGCTTACACCACCAAATCACTGTCATCTGCGAATATAACCATAATTGAGTTGATTTCATCTTTTTTCCGAACAGGACGACTTACTGAATTTGTAGTGCTGTCATCTTTGAGAATTTCAGTGAGCATTTTCACGGTAGATGAACATTGCTGGTCACCGGCAGCAAGGCAAAGGACGGCCACACATTGAGCTATTGAATACAAAGCTTGCTTTGCAACACCACCCAACTGAGGAGATGGTTTAGCACTCAAAAGAAGAGAGTCTAGCAAGGCATCAAAACTTGTATTTGCAGAATACACCAAGGAAGCAAAAAAGCTTTGCAAAGCCTGCATTATTCAACAAAGTATGTTCTCAAACATGTGCAATGTTTCAATATCATAACAAATCACCCGCTAGATAGAAAATTTTTACCAAAAGGGCTTGCCCCTGTAGCAATGAGCTTCTAATTAACGTTAGTGCTTGCGGAAGAACTTTGCTTCTAACAGCCAAACCAATAACTGGGCTTGACCTGTCCGCCATCAAGGTGCAGCAGAGTTCCAGGGCAAGGGCTGTCATATGCAAGTCTGAATCACTGTAAAGGGGTATTAAAAGGAAATTAGGGTTCAGAAACTAAAGCACCCAGCTACTGATCAGACAATACTATGGAAAGAACAAAAAGAAAAAAAATGGTGAAGCAGCAACAGAACCTTATCAGTGTAGCAAGCTCTACAATAATAACTTCATAAGCTGCTGAACCAATTTTGTCGCCGTAAGCAACAA